GACTGATAAAAACGCCTTAACGCAGGCTAATTTGTGTATGCTTCCAAATCAATTTTTTGCGAACTTAAAAAACCAAGAGGAAAAAATTTCTCAAAAGTTTCGAGTACCTACAAGTCATCCTTTTGCAAAGTTTTTACATCGAGTTGTTGAGTTTGGGGAAAACGAAGCCCTTGAGGGATAAGGTTTCTTCGAAATTGAGAACACCAAAATTAGATTTAGTGTAAACGTCTTTACAGTTATCAGTTGGCGCAGTTGTTGAAGAGATGTTTTTTTTTGTTTTTTGCTTAGTCCAGAGCAAGGGATGTCAGCAGAAAGAAACCAATGGCAGGTTTTTGTATTATAGTTTAATTTTTATTGAGCGAATTTGGAATAGTCCCATTTGCGGGATTGTACTGACTCAACTGTGTCCCTCTAGCCCTGCTAGGAATGAAGTAGAGGAGGTTATACCTTCCTGGCTATCTTGCCATCTTTTAGGTAGCTGTTCGAAAACAGAGTACCCACATATACCTTGAGAATTTTGAAATCATTATTATCATCTATGCCTCTATCTGCATCGTTCCTGATAGTATGGGCAGGATAGCTGCAGAGCAGTTTTTCGGAAATAATATGGGGAAGCGAGTGATATTTTGCTTCAAGGTTATCCAGAAATGGGTAAAAAACGGCATGTTTGCACTAATACGATGCCCGGGTCTTAGAAACTCTTGTCTGTTGGTTGAAGACAAAGAGCGGCTTCATTCTTGTGGAGAAGTCTTGAAAAAGCCCCTGAACACACAAACTAGTGATCTAGAGACATAGTTGAAGTTCATAATATTAGTTATACTCTCTACAGAAGGGCTCTTCTCTGATTTCCTCTCTTCAGTGAAGCACCAAACTTCCACAAATACCGTGTTTGGTGCTGCTTGTGATGATTGTTAATTCATTTACTCGCGCGTAACTACTATTCCAGTGCAGTAATGGGGTGACCTAGTTAATGGACAATGAACTCCCAATGTATGCCCATCCAATATTCCGACAGTTTAAACTGGATTGATTGATATGAATTCTCATTGGCTACTCTTCACCTAAACACAGCTCATAACTTGTGACTTTGTAATTTTTTACGAAATAAAATGGAAAATGTCAACCTGCCATACCTTGCAAATCATGAGCAACGAATGTTCACCTTGCACACCATCTCGTACCTTCTGGGCTCCACCGAAATTTCTGGCTTTGACTTTGGTTGCTGGTTTAAAAAAGAAAGCAAAATGTCTTAATTGGAAAGATTAACTTTATTTAACAGGTTCTTACCCTAGAGGACTTTCCATTCCAAAACTGGGGTATTCTTCATAATGGTTTTCGCCACTACTTGCTAGGTGTGGGATCCAATGAAACCCAAGCGGATTCCTTTGTAAAGAACAGTTTTTCACCAATCGGGCGAAGTATGACATCATCCTCCAAAAACATGACACGTGATTCAGAGTTGTCAGCAAGTAACTCCATGAAGAGTTATATCCGGGAATTAAGGTTCCGTAAACCCTTTGCAATTTCGGCTAGCAGCAGTCTCATTTGTATCGTGGAACTGTTTTGTTATCTTGAGCGTTGCTCCAACCAAACCTGCAGGTTACTTTCACACCAAGAATTCTGTTGGTAAACTTCAGAGCGAAAGATTCATTTCAATTTTGACTGGATCCCCCGTTAACATTGATAAGAGTAACGTCGATGAGCAGAAAACACCAGTGTCCGGTTGGTCTAAGGAACTGTCGAATGAACCATACACGTACACAACCAGCTAACCGGCGGCGTGAGTTGAACATGTTCTGAATGCGTGCTATACTGGCCCCTGGTCAGGAGGTTACTTTCCACGGAATGAACGAATGTCACACCCTGCATTTAGCCCTATGGAAGTGATGCCTAAGAACCCACATAGAATTCCAACTGGTCATTGACTTGCTCGCTCAGCTGGGCAATTTGGTACTTTCCACGGAATGAACGAATGTCACACTCTGCATTTAGCCCTATAGAAGTGATGCCTAAGAACCCAAATAGAATTCCAACTGGTCATTGACTTGTTCGCTCAGCTGGGCAATTTGATTGCATAAGTTTCATCACCAATCGAGGTGACATCATCAGTGCGTTATTGGGGGGCGTAGTTGTGCGTAGTGGTGGGTTGGTGGTTGTACATTGAGTAGTGTTACGTGTGTGCTAATATACGTGCTGTTAGCTGGGTATGACACTTGACCGCGATTAGTTGTTTGGTCGGGCAGAATTCAAACTGTTAACCTTCCAGAGGTTGGCCTGTCTCTACATATTGACGCAAAAGAACTCCGTCACAGTCCATGCGTTGGGCTAACTGCCAGAAAGGAACAAAAAGTAGTCTGCCGCTCTCTATCTGAGCATGCTTTTACCGTCCGTGCAAACTGGTCAGGTTTATGGCCGTAGTGACATAACCTAGTTGATACCATTTCTTCTTTCATTACTTAACGATATCCCACTCTAGTTTTGCCCTATGGCTCCGAGCAGCGTTACTGGGCTGGTTGCAATAAGCCGAATTGCTTTAAATGTAAACATGCTTCTGTGAGGAATATCCACGTGTATCTGTTGTAAGCTCCCCTCGTTTGCTAGGACACATCTCACGGTAGATATCTTTGGACTTGCTGGGATGTTTCCCCTAGGAAGTTGTTGGCAGGTTGCTTTCCGGGTGATGGATACTGTTGACGCTGGTTGTCGGACTACCCGCCACAAATGCTTGCAGTAGCAATAACCCTTGTATGATGGAAAGTGACGTTGAGTGCCAAATAGTTAACGACGCCACGCTATATTATACCGTACAACGTTATACTACACCAGGCCATACTACAGTACATTACATTAAACTATACTACAATACATTGCACTGTACTATACTATGCTATAATATACTATAATATACCAGGTTATACTGTGATATACCGGATTATATTGTATTATACTATACTAAACTATACTGTACTGCACTGTACTAAGGTTTGCTACACTGCGCTGCACTTTACTACACTATTATGGTGTCGGTAATTTGTTTGAACTATACAAATAAGAAGACAAGTAAAATTATCGCGAAAATGCGGGTATAAATCCGAAGTGGACTTGTTACTATTAGTCCAGCCACCTAGTCACTTTCTGCCATTAGCAACGGAAAAACTGCACTTCAACGCAGAAAAGCTGTTCACAGGTGGATAATAGGAAACAAGGCACAGATACCTAACAGGAGGCAATACCACGGTTGGGACACAATTGTTAACTGTGCCAACTTGAAAAGTGTCACACGCAGCTAAAAGGGAGGCGTAGATAACTGAAATCACGTTTGGGAAGACCCAGTAGAATTACATCCATTATGGGCCAGGAAAAGTGGATATCCAAAAAGTAAAATCAGGTGCCATTTGTGGACCACAACTCCATCAAATCGACATAATGGTAGGATGAAAAGAAGAGGAAGTTCTCTGATTTTCCTCATTTTAAGTAAACACAACTCACCCGTTCTAAGTCGTACTTTGTCTCTCGTAGTCGCGCGGCGCTTCTGGAGCGCAGTCAGTTCACTCTTGAGTAGGAAAGTCCAGGAAAATATATTCAACCCCTCAAAACAGTGAATTTTCTGAATCGATTGCTGTCCGAGTGCATGGAAGCACAATCTGGTGGGATTGCAGGATATCACAAAATTCTCAGGTTTCCAGTAGGAGGATGATCATCTTACTACCTTCGTCAAAATGCGTCTTCCTCGTTCTCGTTCCCGACTGGTTACACCGAGGCTGAACGCTACGAATGAACAAGACGGAAACAACCGCACATCAAGCAAGAATACCAACATTGTTATTCGGTCGCTAACCCCAGGCAATCGCCATCTTACCCTCGAGCATGGATCAGAAGACGGTGATCCTGAACAACCATGTCAAAAGACAGACCACCGACCATATTGAGGTGCTATTAGGAGTAAGCGGTTTCTTTATAGAAAGCCACACATGCCCAGTGTGACAAAGACTAGTGTGAATTGTATTCAAAAACTGACTGAGGTGTGGGGAGAGGTTGTGGTGGAATTATTTCAGGATCGGCCAACTTAACTCCCGGTTAGGGCCTTCTATCAGGCTGTTATCGTCGTCTAGTTGACAGGCGTGACGCGTCGCATGCATATGGCTCTGTACCGTGGACTGCAATGCTGAGTGGTTCCCCGCCATCTGAATGGCATAAAAACTTACCGACCCCGGTGACTTCAGAAAGTTAAGCATAGCTCTCTTGTTTTGCATGTAAGATTCCCCAGCCACGGACTCTGTGCTGAACCCCCTGGGAGAATCCTTAGACCAACCCAGAGTATCGTGTCCAAGGATCAATTTCGACGGTACAATCCGCCCAAAAACCTAGCGAACACCGCAGTCGAGTCCACTGGCTCATTTTTCCTCTATCTCTATTCCAGTAAGCCTTTATTTGAACTCCACTGCGATGTATTCTGGTTAATCTGTCACCACTCTCAGACTTAGAAACTGTAGCCAACGTCCTTCAACATCCGCACACTCAGAAAGACCAGAAGTCAAAATGTCATCGCTTGTACCCTGGGTGGACTTCACGCCAATGGTTGCTGTTTACCATGAACTTAGGGGAGTGACTCTAGCTTATAGGTTAAAATTAAACCACCCGCACCTTCAACAAGAGCTGTGCACCGTGTGCCCCTTTTTAAAGACCACGCTTCACGAAATTCGGGATCATCCCAAGTCATCATGCAGAGACGGAACTACCTGATCACATATTAGTTAACTTTGTACCTTGTACAACCGGGACCACGGGGAACGAACACTCAAGTTCCTGAGCCCCTGGGAACAAACTCTACACTCAGTTGGATGAGCATCTTAGTAGATGTTATCCTCGTCTGTTGTGGCGTACAGGCGCAAAAGTGCACCGATTAATTATGATCCACTCTGACGGTGGTGTAATTTGGACCTCAGCTAGGAAGTATGTAGAGATTTCTATGAAGGAAAATGCCACGTCAACCAAAACCCCGGATTACAACAATTTATTCCACTATTTTGTGTATTGACTTTAAAAGTTTGTCTAATCGACTGTACCAGGTCTATGCAGTGTTATGTATTATAATATTGTTGTTATGGTTATGATATAATCGTATTATATTATTATATTATAAACACGACGAACGCGGCCGACTAACCTGCAATTTCTGTAGCAGTCACGCAAAATACGAACGTTTCAATGAGAGCCAGGAAAAACCGTAAGCCATCTTTTTCAGAATATGGGACCACGCATTACATTGTCACTCGATTAGTGTGATGACGCAGGTTTGCTGAGCTAATCCGTCTACAGCTTGTAATTAGGTTTTCAGGTTCAGAATAACCTCAGTAATGTAGTGGGTACAATGTCGATCGACCATTTCAGCCATTCCAGTTCCAGCTGAAAACGAATTGCATTTTTTCGGTGTCCCAGGGGCGTAAAAAGACGACAACAGTTAGGCCGTTTTTTCAGGTCCCCTGAATCACAAAGCGTACATACAAGAGTTATGGCAGACGTGGTAGCATTCTCGTTAAACAGAAACCTGTGGTTGCGCTACACGCTGTGTAAAATGATGTGATTATTGTTAGGTTTAACTTTACAAAATTGGGCAGAAAAAGCCTCAACAGTATCGTAAAAATCCCCCTCAAAAGTGGGTCCTAAAGTGTGTGACACTATTCACGCAAACGCATGAGTATCGGGCCATTCATGAATCACCAGAATCATCTTCAGGTATGTTGGTCCTCAACACCCCAGAAGTTACGCGCCATTCCACACGTAACTGATCGATTGTTGTACCCATTAGGTCACCAAACCTATGCGTATCTATGCGGGTTAATTTTACCACAACGGTCCAACAAGCCCGAAGTACGTTCTGGTGCCAGAATGGCTGCATAAAGCAGACATCTAAGCATGTGTAAATGTCATAAGGACAGCCATCTTCACAGGGTCCTTCAAAACTACTTTTATGTCCACAAGTGTTCATTAGCATATAATAAGTAGTGCTCACTTTCGAATTACAACAGACAACAAAATTACGAACAATTACATTTCATCAAGCAAATTTTTTTCAACAGAAACCTCTTCACTTGTTGGGAGAAAGCACCAGAGCGAATTGAGTTTGATGCAGTAATGGAAGTAATCTTTAGGTAATGGATACAGTTCTATAGCTCAGGCACACCAACTGAGTTTGCGCTGTCCAAATATGGGTCGTCGAAGTGCGGCTTTGCGCGAAACAATCATAAATCCTAAAAACAAAATTAAATAAAGTCATCAACAATTCATCAACATTTCATGAGTAGACAAAGCCCCTCTTCTATGAGCTGATGGTGTAGTTTCACCCCAAAAAATGAAAAACCCAATGTCCATTTGTGTCAGCCCAGTGAACTTTTTTCCAGAGCTTCAATAATTCCTTCATCGATCCACGGTAGTCATCAAGTGGCCACACTTCTTTCGACCTAGGCTTCCGCGTTCAAATTTTACCCATAGAAATGGGATACTTTTGAAACTAATTAGAGCAAGTAAAGTTTCATCTGATTGCAACTAACCAAAACGTTGTAAAATGTTTATAAGCTGGGTCATTTTTGGCATAGCAATAAGACCGACTACACCTTGGACATTTCCGACATACATACAGCGAATGGAATGGAACGGTGGACAGTGCACCCTGCTGTACCGTAATCGGAAAACCAGATAGCGGAAACTGTGCCCCGAACTGGACCAGATGCTGGCCAAGTGGTAGCAACCGTACTGCGTGACAACCAAATAATGACCACGTGCTCACTTTGGAACAAACTACTTACTTTTTGTTAGTTTGGGTGTTCTTCCAAACCGAACATTCCTGGTAGTCGTTTTTTTCTTGTGGATTTGACTGGCATGTTTATGTCCTTTGGTTTCCAACCTACCACAAGCAGGTCTAGTATAACCACCGTTGTACGCCAAGGGATCCGAAGAACAGCGAAATTTACGGGATGTGTGGAAACAATATGCCTGAAAAAACACACTCGCACGGGTAGGCTTTCCCCGTAGGTTGCAGGCTCGATGAAGGGGATGCACACAAGCATGTTTTCAACAAGGACAACCGCCTAAATGGATGTATTTGTGACACGTGATAAATCATTCTATTTTTGCAGTGGATTTTCCACCTTGGTGATCTAATCTACTCTGTGAGAAAGGATGAACTGTGCCAAGTTGGAAAATTCTTTCGGAGTTCGGTTCATCCGTGCTTCATTCACTTGACTGTCTCCGAAAGATGAGATTTCAAGGGTCATGACCAAGTGAATTACCACTCGTCGATGGTCCGCTGAAAAATGACACATAAAGGCGGTCGCTGAGTGATCGGGCAGAAAGATCAACCAATAGGATGAGGGTACTCAAGGTCACTTATTTGCAATTATTTAGACACGGGGTCTAACATGCACAATGGACCTGTACGAGTGTGACGAGCACATTGGGCTCATTAAACACAAGAAGAACAAAGAATGACCGTGATACGCAGTGATACGGTCGAAAGCCGGTCCTATTAATTCGTACATCGCCCAACAGGACCTCTGCTAAAACACCTAGTTGGGTGTTTCAGAGTATTTGCCATCGATCAGTGCTATTCTATTGTTGGAGGAATATACAGCTTTAGTAGGCGAAATATCCTTGACGATATGTGTGACGTGAATTCCAGAAACTGGCAAAACTGAGAGTAGAACTAATGGCCACGCTAGGTTAAATTTCGCCAAAAGAGGGATTGGGTGTTCCTTAACGTGATCTATGCCAATCCATTGTCTGTAAGAAATCGCCACCAGTCATCCAAAAGTTAGACTTGGCCGCCCAAACCGTGGAGCCTATTTGTAGCTAGGTTGCAGGTTTGTACGGAACCGACATTTCGTCGCGCAAGTCTAGTTTCCCGAGTAAAAATTTCATCAATATTTTATCATGTGGTTTTATATTACTACTTTTTGGATCATACAAAAATGAGCTCACCGAGTGCCTAGGCCAGACCCTCCTTGTTTCAACTTTCTATCAAAGTTTGCACTTTACATTTATCCATTAAAAAGATGCGGGTTGAACCACGGACTCTGTCTAGCAAAACGCTAATTTTTCGATTCACAAAATAACTGGAACGACTAAATTTGGTACCTCAGAGTACCCCTCCCTCTCTTAGCTGATCCGATGGACCCAAACTGACAAAATTGGAAGTCTTTCCTTTTCAAGGCTTTCAGTCCCGATAGGCTTCTCATGGCTATTGATTACTCAAACTCGCATGGCTAACAGCTTACTTAAATTTAAACGAATTTTTCCCTGGGACTCAGTGTCATGTCAGACATATTATAGTTACAGAATGGTGGAAATGGATTTTCAGCTTGCAACATCATAGCGGAATGGAGAAAGTAAATAAAAACATGAAAACTAGTAGTCTGCAGATGTTGCATCATATATGTAATTTATTTAGTTAGAGGACGCAGTTTCAGATAGATACTGTTGACTTGACTTCACAGAAGGGATTTAAGAAGGCATTAGTGTCTGCAAAGAGAAGTTTCGAATTTTGATCAACTTTAAGGATTTTACTCCAGGGTAAGATGGATGGAGTGTTTGGCAACCGACAGACACCTCAGAACAACGACACTTACAAGCGTCACTGTGCCTGCTGATCTGTCTCGTTATTGTACCACAACTTTATCGGTCGTACAGAATTGTAATCTTTTAAAAGTAATGACAGTGGCGGCAATGTCTGAACTGACAAGCTTATGTGGCCCGTGAAGCACTCTGGAATTCAAACAGTATAGTCGGTCTTCAGTGAGAGTGACTTTAACATTGGAGGGTCAGCTGATGCTACCTGAGATAGTTAATCCCAACTGCTTCACCGGGAAGCAAACCTCGATACTAGAGAGAGGAGAAAGATTACCGAACGAATTGCTGTCTAACCGTCAGTGAGTGGACTGGAATCGGACGATTTTGGAAACTTGTTTAAAGTGCTCTCTTCTGAGACCACAGTGTAAAACAAGTCCGGTTAGGTGATCCCTGTAGGCTCTTGACATGTCATACGTGCGGACAACCACTACATGACCGAAACTTCTATACTGAGCAACCAGAAAGGTATTAAAATACAGAGAAAGAATAAAAAACCATGTCCCTTCGAAGGTTATTAGCATGCATAAGAATTGCGTAACTTGGGTCCAGGGTGTACAGCGTGCTCGGGGAAGCAGGGCTACACCTGTCGTTCTACCACTGTCACATAAATGCAACATAATTCTCAGTTCTTTGCTGCCAAACACATTATTGTGGACTCAGAAGAGCGGCCAAACCACCCTATAATCATAATCCACTAAAGAATAGATCAGGTTAAGAAAGTAAGCGACAGCATCTAATGCTAAATGCGATCATCCCCAGACGCACGATCAGGAGCTGGTCCCGGTCATCAAAAACTCTAATCTATCATACATCTAATCTAACATCATAAACGAGAGATTCAGCTGGGTTCCAGGTTAGTCTCTCGAAAGAACCAAATTAGTTTGCAGATGAGTGTATATTCGCCAATTTCGTGCAACTTGGTTTCAAGTAGTAGTAAGGTGGCACCAATTCCCTTCGCCGTCCATCTATTTTTCTTTTCACGAATAAATAATGATTGTATGGAAGCAAAGCATCTGTGTGAACAGTGATTTCAGGTTGTCGATGATGGTGATGATGACGATGATGACGATGATTGTGATGATGATGATGATGATGATGGCGATGATCGGGATGATGGTGATGATAATGGTGATGCAAAAGGCGCTGATGTTTCATGCTCTCGCGATTACTTATAATACCAACGGAAATCGCCGAGATTTGGAAGCAGTAATAATAAGCTTTCATCGGTAACATCCCTCCAGCGCCTAGCGCCGCTGCCACCAGTAAGAAGCACGAGGGCTGAGATACTTCTTGGGTTCTATCATTATACCGGCTAGGCATTTTCAATTGTGCAACGCAGCAAGCAATTCATCCAGGAAGCACATCCGAGAGCGTAAGGTGCTTTGCTCTCAGTAAGCGGTGCACATGCCGTCCACTGAGAGAAGCCTTGTTTTTCATACCTGATTTAAATTGACGAGAATCCCCAGGCGAGCAAAATAGGGTCTGGCAGGAAAGCCTTGACGATGTTTTTTACAAAGTAACTTTTAGTATGCGACTTACCCAGTGCGTGGTTGTAGACATTGGTTGATATGGTAATCAGCCGGTGACGGTGACGTTCGTGCTCCCAACATCTATCCAGCCTGTCTGGCTAGCTGCTGAAGGTCTCCGTATCTCAAGTGTTTGTGGCAAGCTGGCGCTTAATCTCTTCCCTCCATTTTAGTCTTTTCACTAAACAGCTTCATTTGAGTAAATTGGTTGTTGGGAATCAATGCACTGATTTGTTTTTTTCGTCAATTATGAGAACTCGGATAATCACTGTTTGAGAGGAAACTTGAATGAACTGAATTCGGGTCACTGATATTGATATGGTATCTGGGTCAGTAAACTAGCCTTCCACCTTTGAAAGCCCTACTATAATAATACATGTGTGACAGGTGCCTCTCTAGCGATCTAGGGAAACAAACAGGTGGCTTTCGACTGTTGTCAAGACGACATGCTAAATGATCTGGACGCTTTTCGTGGGCTATGTCATAACTCAGCCTGATTAGATGCCAGTTCCACATACATTGATTAGCAGCTTGATGCACATACAGAGAACATCTCTATTTTCCCCGATAGTTGAACGTCACTCAATATTTTATTCCTGCTCATGTCAAGTTCTGTAGAGTTTTTTGTGCATTCTAAGGTAAGTTTCTGGTGCAAAACTTCACAATAGTATCAAGTAAGAAGCAATTTGAAACAGAAAATCATCTAAAAATATTCATCAGTAAATACTCTACACAAGTGGTCAGGTCCAGGGGGGAGGTGGAACTAACTGGAAAACAACACAATTGAGGGACCAAGCACAGGTGTGGATTTCGTGAGTGACTGGTTTGGAATATTCTTCTAGGCAAACTTGAGACAATAGTTTCAACATATTTGCTTACAGCCAACTTAACCAAGCCTTCAGGTTGCGCTCCTACCAGGGACGTTATAGTATGGAAGAATTCCTCCCTAGATGTACTGGAAGAAGGCGGGGGAGGTAGTCCTATCGCAAGAATACACGATCAGTAACAAGACCATAAATATGAGTGACAGAGACAGAAGACTGAGTGCTGAGCTCTACTAAGTACGTTTTGAAGGTGTAGGGTCAATTATTAGTTGTTGACTATGTGATTCTGGATCTCTTCACCAAGCTTAGTCATTAGCTTTCAAACGTTTCATCACCAAACCAGGCAACATCATCAGTGCTCCATCACTTGATACTTCCCTCTTATCTGTGTGCCTGAATAGCATTTGAAGAGTATCTGCTATTTCTTAACGTGATTGGCCAATTGGGAGACAGCTTTCCCGTGAGTTCATTGGCCCGTTTGTGGTTTTCTTAGGATCAGCTGTCGTTGCCTGGTCAACGTTACGTCCTGTAGGTAGTACTGTACACGGCGTGAGGGAAGCATTTATTGGCAGTTCAGTAACTAAAACTACTACACACTGAAGACAGCGCCTAGTAGTACAGTATCTGTGGTACTGCCTTATCGGGAAGTACTGGCAGGCGTGGCCTCGATGGACAAAATCATGAAAGTGTATAGGCTACGATAACTTCAAGTGCTTCGTTCTTTTCCTCTTCTTCCTAACCGTTTGCATCGATGGAACAACCTCGTCCTTACATCAAAAATCAACGTAATTCGAAATCCTAACTATAACAGAGACGTTCTCTCTTGTTCGAAATGAGAAAAACTTCAAAGTGCCAATGTCTTCATCTACACAGAGATCCTAACTACGCCGAAACTACGTCCATCCACTTATCTATTCGGATATCCGCAGTTGCTCGCAATACAGTAACCAAATACACAAATGTGATATTGAGTTCCCAAGATTCTGATCCGTTGGTCTTTTTCGAATACATGGGTTTCGAGAAAATCTACCTGGAATTTCTCTACTTATTCAGTCAGTCTTCCTAGCAAGACTATTTGTATGCAACTCCGATTGAGTTTTTTTTATCCCATTTGTTACTAGGTTGCCTTAGGCTAGTATGGTCGAGGATAATTGAAACATCCTCACGTGTCTCTTTTTTAAAAGAAACTACTCACAAGGTTACTGAAAGCTCTTCGACAGCCCACGACCGGTTTCTTCTTTTTTGGGGCCCATCAGGTAGGCGCAGTCCCCGAGTTTCCGTCAACCTTATGTTCTACTTGAGCCCAAATTGGACTGTTTTTGGAAAATACACTCATTTGCAAATCAATTTAGTTTTCACGAGAGACTCAACTGAATCTCTGGTTTACGATATTCTACAACTGAATGTGCTGCACACAGGCCGCCTCATGATTCAGTTGGTACGATATTCGAGATATCGCAGTATATTTTCATAAAGGAAACCACTCACATGGTTGCTGAAAACTCTTCGACAGCCCATGACCTCACGTGTCTTTCATCTGTCATGAATAACAAGTCATTGTTCACGTACTTTCTAGTTAGTTGGGGCCTGAAATCATATGACTGTGGTAAGGCAGTATTTCATCGAATACATCTTACAGACTTGATAAACCGGACAAAAACCTTTTATTTTGTTTTTTTTTAGGCAATGTGAGTAGAAAAGCTAACTTCAATTGAGAATTCGTCCTGTAAGTGAAGCCAGTCTATGCTGAGAAGCCGGGGAGCACTATGTGGCTGTTTCATCTTCGTTGGGAATCATAGGCAGTGCGCATCTGACGAACCTTCGTAGTTTTTTGGAATCCCATACCTCCCGTTTAGTAATTTAAGCACCTAATGGTTCAGCCACGAGCAGCTGTTCAGCAGTATGATTAACCCGATAGGGTACAATGTCACTCATTCTTTACTCATGGAATCCATATCACGTGTTCACCTGTTGAGTGACTGCTAAAGTGACGACTTCTCAGATAAAAAGTTTCACTCATACGAATTATTGCTCCCATGCCTTGCTTACAGGTTGTTGGAAGTGTGATATTTGGCTGAGTTCATTAGCAGTAGGAATCCCGCTGAGATGGTAATACGACGATGAAGGGGGGAGGAAACTGGATTGCAAAGATCGACCGAGGGACAGGCTGACATGTTTCGGTGCCAGCGATTTAAGCGCATGAGTTGTTTTTTTTCGGCGCGGGACTTCTCCATTTAAGTAGTATAGTCAGGCGACGGAACAGGTGTGCGTGCACGTCTGTCAGAACGTACAATTAGCCTTCGTATGCTTGCTAACGATGAATGGCCAACCATGTGGATGGCAGATTTCGAATTTAACTCATGCTATTTGAGCCTTGACTGCCCTAAACAAGCAAAACTAACCTTCAGTCTAACGACAGCTACGTATTCTAGCTGCACTTTTTTTAAGTACCACTGAGTTTATTGTACATTCTTATTCATTTGCATCTCTTAGTGTGTGCTTACACACCAAAATAGCAAAGCCAACGTCCGGTTGCATCTTTAGAACCCAAACGCTTCAATATTTTAGAGTTGGAGTTTTCTCTACTGCTGGCGAACGTGGGCTTTCAGCAGGCCAGCCGTGGTTAACCACCATTTTTCCTTACTTTTCGAATGTTCCCACCAAAGAGGGACAGAGTCAAACAAGAAATCACGTTTGACTGTCTTAAAAAAAGCTTTCCTCATAGAAAGACAACCCTTTGATGTGACAATTTCAGAACTTCTATCCACACCTTAAGACATCAACTGCTATCAAATGCATCAATGCCGCACGTCTTGGACGAACGAATTGCAGTGTTCGGTACCTTATTTAATAAATCTGTTGGTAGGTCCTTAAGACTAGAGTCGTGACGTTAGGAGAGCCATTTGGAAGTCCCAACACTAGTCATTTGCACTGTGAAGAACGTGCGGTGCACACTTTTCAAAGCGTCCACAACAGTTGTGGAAATACCATCATGTACATCCCAGTTTGGCTTTTACGGGAGACCCAAATGACAGTCTTGTTTATGATATTCTTTAACTGAATGTGCTGCATCAGGCTGTCTCATGTTTCAGCTGGTACATTATGCCAATATCACAATACATTATATAGACTTAACACACTATTCGTAAGATTGTTGTCGAAGAGTTTTCAGCAAACTTTTGAGTACTGCGTTGAGCCCGTAACCGCGTTTCCCCTCGAAATGATCAACATCACCGAAAGATTAAATTTCATTACTTTGGAATCGACTTACTGGTCAGCCCACTACCTAACTAGCATCAGATTTTGGAGGGCAACCGTCAGCTCCATCCTTCCACTATCATCGAGGTTCAAACCCCCCTCATATGCCAATGTGTTCAAAAAGGTTCTGACCTACCGGCTGCGTTCACATTTATATGCGTGAATCAAGGAACGAATATCTCGCGCCATATTTGGCTGGTTATCCCTACTACCTGGCCGTTAGTATCCAGTACTTCTTTCAAAGTCAACGATCAGTATTTACCACTCTAACTTCGCTTATTCTCTCTCTGCAAGTCCGCTGTTTAAAAAAAATCCATCTCCTAACAATTCATGCACCCTTATGATTTTTGTGTGTTTGAAATGACAGAAAACCCACTGAAACCAGTATTGATGAAATAAAGAAGGCCTTCGCTGCGGGGTTATTTATTAGAAAATGCCAACTGACCGGTTACAGACCATTGGACAGGGCAGCAAAACTCTAATTTGCATCTTGTTTACAGAAACTGGATATCTATCTTCTCCTGAATGCGTCTTATTGAACTTTCCTGGATATTCATTGACTCCAAT